AGGGAAGGATCAAGCTGGTATTACAGCCAAAGAACCTTTTATTTAATGATAGTTGCACTGGAGTGGTCAGTAGTTAAGTTTGCGTGTTTGCAAGGCAAGCTTCCTTAGCGCTTCGCTTTCGCTGCACCGACTTTGTAGGTGTTAGGAGTCAGGCTCGTATTCCTGCTGGCGCTGTACCCTCCAAGTTACGGTGATTTGTCTGAATTTATTAGAGATGCGAATCTTAGAGAACCAAGTGAGACACATTTAGGCTTGTCTTTGCAAAAAGATTTTGACAGTAGCCAAGTTTAGGATAAAGTCATCCTCTTGCTGTTGCATTAGCCTTATCTGAGATGAATGTGACGTTCCCAGAACTGTGTCTTGACTTTGGGTGTCTGTAAGGTGTCACACTAACAAGATGCTAAGAATAAAACAAGCACTTTTGAGGCAGTTCTGCTAAAGTAACTGCTCTAAAACTACTCGTACTTACAACGAGACACTGAAAACATCGCAGAAGGTTCTCACAAAACCTTAACCTTTCTAAGGACTTTAAAGAAGGGCGTACTCCCGGAGCCGTCTTCAGGCTGTTACACAGCACCATATACATACTGTCAGCGTAAGTTAAAAAAAGAACCAATTTAAAAAAAAAAACAACAAATTTATAGAAGAGCTCTGCGTAACGTGTGGTTACTCAGCTGAAGTTTTCTCCCTAGTTTTAGTTACAAAATGTAACACCCCCAACCCACATATTTCTTTCCTGTTCTGAGATGTTGTTAATTTAGCTTAAATTAGCTTTCCAAAGTCTATTAGGAAACTCAGACTTAATCCCCCCCCAGCATCGAGAGGCAGTTAAGACCCAAAAAATGATTTACCTGACAGAATGTATAAGCTCTGCACAGTGAAATTGAATATGAGGGGAAAAAAAACGAAACCACCAAACAAAAACTACTGGCAGTATTTTCAGAGTTACCTGTGTTCATTACATTAAATATACTGGTTTCAGTTGAATAATAATATCAATCATTATACCTGTATATGGACCTGATTCAAATTCCACTGAAGTCTTATAGAATCCTTTTTGAAGTCAGCAGATACTCATATGATTTGGATCGCTCCCTGCAAAAGCTGTAATATTATATGAAACTCAAAATATAACTCTTTCTTAGGTAGAGAGTTATCTAAACTGAGCTTGTGTATTTTTATTCTGTGGGGAAGGAGACAGTGTCTTTTTTTTTTTCCCAATGATGAGTGTTACAGGACATAACCTTTTTGTGCCCCCTTGCCACTTTTGGCTGGAGGAGCATAGCCAGCAATGACAGTAATCTTTAGCAGCCTTCCTATTATTCTGTCTGTAATTCCTGAAATTAGGATGCATTTTAGCTAATATTCATTGGCACAGGAGTTAAATACACTTTCATGGGTCTTTTTTTAGATTTGTGATAGAGTATGGCTTTTAAGCAAAGTATTCAGACTTAAAAATCTTAGTGAATAGTAGTGTGTGCTAATGCCACAGTATCTGAAAACCATTTTTAAAAATTCCTTTAGGAAGAGATACTTAGTTCTGTGCCACTGTGCTGTTTTCATGAGGTTCAACATAATTAATTTCTCTGTATCTAATGTTAGAAGTTGTATTAAGTTACCTATATATTCGGCAAGTTTTCTTTATGTGGTTTGCAAAGGGTGTGGGAATTGCTGTGGGAGATGTTAAGACAGGGAAAGAAGAAATACAGGATTAATATATACCTAAGAAATACTTGCATCTTCCATTTTTACTTACAGTTTCTTTCATTTCAAGGTAAATACACATGCAATGTATCTTGCAGATACATTAATATTAATAGAGAGCTGAGACCGAAGTCCACGCTTGGACTTCATTCAAGCAAAATCCCATTACTTGTAATGGGAGCTTGGCCCTAGAAATCTGTTAGAACTGGGTCCTAAGTCGGAAAGCTTTTAACATTCAAAAATAGATTGTTCAATACAAAATTCTTAGTATTTTTTTGCTGGGCAATTTCTGTGCAATCGTCAATAACTTTAGTGGAAATTCTGTGGTTAAGTCTTCACATGTCACTTTGAATTGCACAGGCTGATGTTTCAGAAGTACCCAGTATAAAAACCAAAGCCTTCTTCAAGTGCCTATTTTGCAGTAAACCTGGTGGATGCTCTGAAAAGAGCATTTTTGAATACTTGAACTTGGGATTGTTCTAAATGGTAATTCACATAATTAGGAGTATGGAAAGGATGTTGCACACCACCAGCTTATATAGCTAAGCTTCCAAAATCAGTGTTATGACTCATAAAGAATACTGAAATCTATGCAGGCTTCTCAATCAGTGTTCTTTTCAGCATTTGATTGAACTTTAAAATGCACTTCAAATTAGTAAGTCACTACAACAAACAGCTACACAGAAATTCAGTAGAAGACGACATGTTGTATTCTTCTATGTGAAAGACCTCTTACAAAAAGCAAATAAACAGACAAAAAACTCCTACTCAGTGTCATTAGATTAACAATAGGTTAAATAATAAAAGAAATTAGGGCCAATTTACCATGGTTATCCCAGTTTTAAATTATAACAACTCCATTTAATCAGATTTGAAATACAGCAGTGACAAATAACACAGGTTTAAAAATATGTATCAGTATGGGTTATGAGCAAAACCTTCAGTCTTCATTCCTAATCGAATAGCATTTAGGCATGTGCCTAACTTTCATTTAAAGTGGTGGGACTGCAGCAGATTCTTAAAGTCCAAATGACTTCAGATGTTGTCTTCAAGAGAGACAGCCGTAAGCACACTCTAAGCACTTTTCTGAATCAAGATGATAATTTATAAATTTTGGAAATGTGCACATTTCTAGTAGATTCAGGAAAGCTAAATATGTGTTAACACTGTCCTTTTATTTCTGTGCTCTGATGGCAGAAATTAAGGATTTGGGGCTTGACTGACACATTAAATGCATTCCATACTAAGGTATATTTTTAATCATGTAGTCAATAACATAAGCTCTATGGAGGTTGCTTTACTCCTTTTTCAGTCAATGGAGTTTTTGCCTGATCAAGAAATGAGTAGCCAGGCTCCCGCTGATCAATGCACATCACTTGAGCTTTCTGTGGCAAATGTAATTCATGTTATCTTACCCTGGAGTGTTTAAATTTGTAACTTTAGGGTTTATGTAAGAGAAAAGAAAAGCTAAAAACATTAATGACTTTTAATTTGATACGCTGAGAGTGGCAATTTCAAGGTGCATAAGTTGATGGAAATCTGCATTGGAACAGCAGTGCAGAGTCTACATC